ATGTTTCATACAGATGTGATGACTTTATTTTGAATGTAAATAAACATTTTAAAATCTAAGTATTCCTCTCTTTAGTAACTTAAACAAAAATAACATTTTGGCTAGTAGCTACCCTATTTTTGCCATAATTACACCATTATAAGTAGGAAAAAGAACTAATGAAAGCTTTGGTAATTAGGGAGGAAAAGACACACTGTGAGGAGGGAAAGATACGCTGGAAACAGAGTACAATATTAATATAAGAGCAACATATGCCTAAATCCTTGGTAATGTAGCTTGGTAAACAAAGTCACTCTTCCACACATAAAGGACTATCTGCAGTTACAACATTAGAAGCACGGAGTGATTAGAGGCTCTGAGCCACCAATGCAGCTTAGCTGACTAACTGCAAACTCAGTCTTGAAATTTTGGGGCTAGTACATTGCTTTTTTCCTTCACCTCAAACCGTTGGCTCTTCTTGACCTCCAAGAGGGCCGTGGAGTTTTGGGGGCTGCAGCACTGCTGCCAACAGTGCTCCTACCCTGAGCAGTCAGGGCTGCTGCCAGCCACCTGCACTGCAGATCCTGGTCCTCCCGGGTCCACACTGCTGGCTCCATGCCTGACCCAGTGTGATTAAAATGCTCTGAGCACGTCTAGGGCACCTGCGCTGATGCCTCCTAAGTGCCATGTGGATGTGGCATCGATTAGTGGAGAGGGCAAGGAAGGAGCAGCAGCACGTGAGAAGTACCAGACAGGGAAAACAAGGTCTGGGTTAGTGAAGAGAGGGGAGCTCGTATGGGTTGGTGGCTGCAGGACAGCTCAAAGCAACAAGTGGAAGCTGGTTCAAAAAAGAGGGAACCAAGTCTGAGTGAGGGAATTTGCTTAGGAAAAGAGAGGTTGAAACACATGGTGAGACATGGGAAAGTGAAAAAGAAACAGGAGGAAAAAAGTAGGGAAGGAGATGGAGGGAAGACTAGGGGGGAGGCAGGGTGCAGTACAGGATGAGGCCAGAGTCAGAGAAGCAGCTCCTGAAGCTGACATCCACAAGTAGAGCAGTAAGAAGAAAGGAAGAGGAAAAAGGAAAGCAGGGGATGGGGGGAGTGGGGGGTGGAGAATTTCAATAAATAATGATTTTTCACATGTTTTGCTCAAATGACTCAAATAGTGGGACCCTCAGCACCAGCCATTAGCCCCAGCCAGACACGGCCGTGCCGCATTCCTGGGTCGCTGCTAGGTTGTCTCCTGTTTAGATCCAGGCTGTGCTTGTGTCTGAGGTGGTACCGGTACAAAGTTGGGCTTTGCCAGCAAAGCTGTGCTGGCACCGGGAATAGTCTGTGCTGGTCTGGAATAGCATGGCGTGCTGTTGCTATGTAATAGATGACCTCATAGAAAAGTGTTATGCACACATAGCTGGGCTGAGCCGCTCCGCCATCATCTGCGGACAGCATCCATTTCAGCAACTAATGTACAAAGAGCCCAGTCTTCAGATGCAACTTAAAGGACTATAATTTTTTTGCCCCCCCAAAATGGAGGTTATGGCCACATATCTTATTTCCCGTTGGTTTTTCTTCCCAGTATGTAGCACAGCTAGTCCTTCTCCCTGCTACCCCACTGCAGCTGCTGCCTCTAACACAGCAAAAGGTGCAGAATGAACGGTGCCAGCACAGGAGAAAAAGAACAGTGCCAAAAAAGAAGGGGCAATGGGGGAGAGAGGTGGTTTGGGAAGCTCCAGGAAACTGCGGAAGTGTGGAGCTGTGTGCTGTGTTCTGGGACTGAGCTCCAGAAGGAAGGAAGATACTTCACACAGACACAAACGGCAGTCATGGGGATATTCATGTATTTAGTGTTTGTGTTGTGAAAGTCAGGATGGCACTTTACGGCTATAAAAACCCCTAGCCGTGCCCAAAAGATAGCTTTACAGAACTTGTTTCTGTTCCCAACAGGTCTAAAACCAATGAACCGTATGTGTATTTTAACATGTTCTTTATAGCTGTCTCTGAAATTTCCCAGGGAGAGATGATCTTTTAAAAAGTGAATGGAGCGTGTCAGTGCCATAGGCAAGTGTATTGATAGTAAAAAGAAATATTAAATCATCCTCTGACATTTTAAGATGATAGCTACTGGTTTAAATTTAAAAACCAGTCCAGGGATCAACCGTCAGAGATACTTGTCACTGCTCTTCTTCAGCAATTTGGGCTTTGTTCTGGCTGCTGAACTTTTGATATCCTCAGAAGATAAATTTACTGTCTGTGTCTGCTCAGGGGGGAGATTATTAAACAAGCAACCCCAAACAATTAAATAAAACCTTAGCTATATGCAATCATTTTAATTTAGTCCTTTGATATCGTTCATCTGATTAAGTTTTTTCCAAACAAACTGCACATAGGACTTGGCCTAGGAGGAGCGGACTAAGCCCATATGTATCCTGACGGGGTGTTTACTCGAATGGAGTTATCCCAGCCTTGCTGCGCGTACTCGGGGACGCAAAAGGGCCTGGGGACAGAAACTCGGAGAACAATAAGGATAGACAAACTTAGAGTGAATAACCTACTGGGAGAACGGGAATGCACTGGGAATAGAAAAATCAGTCAGACAGGAAGAAATCAGATACTGGGAAGATGCCCACGGAGAGGGAGCAAGAGATGCCCATGGAGAGAGGTGTGGAGGGAAGAGCAGTTTGGAGAGGGAGGACAGGGGCTGCCAGCACAGGGGGAGGAATGCAGTGCCAGGGGTGCAGCACCCCAGCGAGGGAAGGGGTGCAAGTGGGGGGGGGGGGGGGGGGAAAAAAATAAGATGGCCCTTAAATAAACTTTGACTAGGGAGGCTGTTCTTCAGCCAGCAGACCAATATTTCTGGCCGCAGAAACATTTTTTTTCCCCTCCCCATCTTGCTGGACAGGAGCAGATGGAGAGATAGGCCTTGACTGCCTAAGAAATTTTGGCTGAGTTTGAGACTGCCATGTCTGCCACATCAGTGGAAATTTACCTGGCTGCCTCGGCCTGGGGCAGAGCAGGGCTGGCTCAGGGGTCCCTGCCCCTGGCCCCAGGGTGGGCATAGTAGCCCTCTGCGTAGGCAACAGACAGATAACGAGCAGCCGCAGGCAGTAATGCAGCCCTTTCTGCACTGATGGCCTGACTGCAGCCCAGGCGCTGCTGGTTTTGACTTGCTACTCATTAACAGGGTTCAGGCAGTATGGTTCCCTGCTGCAGGACAGAGGATCAGGGATGGGGACGCTGCAGCCGCCCAAGCTCTCTCAGCATGTGCTCCCTATGGGCCTGCTGGGACCTGTGGCCCCCCCATGGATAGACCATCCCAGAGCCCTGGCCCCCTGTTAGGTGGGGCCCAGGAGTGGAGCCCTTCCCACTGAGCTGGGTGCAAGGGGATTGCTCCCCCCCCCCGCAGACAGGGCTCCCTGAGCAAGGCGAGGGGAAGATTTCTCCCTGGCGTTCTAACCTGGTCCTTAGTTTGGGAGAGGAGTAGGGCAGGATGGGCATCCCCAGCCTGGGAAAGAACAACTTTTGGGGCCCCAAACTACCCCAAGACACTGCAGGGAGGGTGCCAGGAGTGACAAGAGCCGTGGGGTGGCAGAGGAGGGGATGCACATCCAAGCCACAGTGCAACACATCAGAGAAAATGCCTCAGCACTGGCACCAGGCCTTGCCGGAGGGGACCGGAGGCACTGGTGGGGGGTTCACCAGGGTGGCAAGGGAGGGCAGCCCGGGGATCGATGTCACCGTCCTGCCACCTACATGCTGAGTGCAGGCACTGATCGTGCCGCCCGTGGTGTGGGAATGCTGGGCCACCAAGAGTCGCCCTGACAGGGGGGCAGCTGGGGGCTTACGGAGGTGGTGAGGGAAGGAGGGAGAAGGGGAGGCCCCCACGGTGGGGCGAGGGTCTCCCGGGAGGGGGGAACAGCCCCTCTCCTGGGGGCCCCTCCATCCACCTCCTCGGGCGTGACCTGTGCTCGGGCGCAGGGGGGGGGGGGAGGTGGGGGGGGGGGCTCCCTGCTGCCAGAACCGCTGCTCTGCGAGCGGCCGGCGGGGGTCCGGTGGATGAGCCCCGGGGCAGGGGCGGGATTTGCGCCTCGCTGTTTGCTTCCAGAGCTGACGGGAAAGAATCGTCTTCTGCAGGATAAAGTCCCTGTCTGCGCGGGTGAATTGCCCGTGTCCAAAGTCTACTGGCAGGAGGCTGTCTACTGCAATCTCCGCGAGAGGGATGACTTTTACAATATATGGGCTGATTGCAAATAAGTTACTAATAAGCCGCTTTGGCGTAAGAACGGCTCTATGCATTATTTCCTAAGATCTGTTTATTTGCAAGTATTTCTTTCTTTCTCTTCTTTATATATAAAAAAAATTCGTTCGGGAAAATAAAAAAAGTACAGAAGTTAATATTTAGACATTCGTACTATTAAGTAATAGAGCTATAAACTCTCAAATACGGCACTTTCATTTTGCTTAACAATAGATAACACAACAGCGACAGTGAAAGAGGGCAAACAAAAGCGATCACCAAAATTGTTGTGACAGTACAATTACCCAGCTAGGAAATTTATTCAATATGCTTTACCATTGCATTGACACAGCAGGAAAAAAAAGCCCAAATGTTCAGAGAATAATACAACAAGGCAGGAGGTATTTGGAAAAAAAAAAGGATTTATTTTGAAATACACTTTTAAGAGATACTTTGCCTCCCCGATTTGTTATCGATGTGCATCTGACACGACGATACAAAACAAACAAACGAAGAAAACCACATTCTGTACAGAGCTCTAAAATGAGCTGCGAGTATCTACAAGATGAGCTTTACGCCTGGCTGTGGGTTGGAGAGGGGCCCGATCCTGCAGTCCGCACTCTCTAAACGAGTTTCGCAGACGTGTGGTAGGAAAGCTTGGCCCCGAGTCTGCGTGTGTGTCTCCGTGTGTGCGTGTGTGCGTGCGTGTCTGTGAGTTCCCGCGACACAGTCCTTGAGAAAAATGGGCACGTTGGAGCTGCCGGAGCGGGCGCGGGTCCCTGGCTGCTCTAGAAGTCCTGCCGCGGGGTGTGAGTTAGACTGTGCCGCCGTAGATCACAGTTTCGCCTGAACACTTTGCCGCACTGCTCACAGTTGTAGGGCTTGATGTCTGTATGGGTAAGAAGGTGAGTTTTCAGATTACTTCTTTGATTAAAGGTTCTTCCACATGTGGGGCATTTGTGTGGAGATTCCTGTTCAGATTTGAAGCAAGCAAAGGATTAATCCTTCACAAACTACCTGGTTTAACGTATTACTGCACTTTTTCTTATCGCAACGCACAACTTGAAATATCGGGGTTGGACCCGAGTAAGAGCAGCCCCGGGCGGACGGCAGACCGCCTACTCGTCCTGTCCTGCCCCAAAAGGGGTATTTCAGAGTTCTCGATTCGTGCCATTTCGCGCTCCTGGGCCGCAGGGAAAGCGGCCGCCGCGCCGTCCCCCCGCTCCGGG